TCTGGGCCTAGCCAGTGGAATAGCCTCGAGGGGTGAAGAGAACATTCACTAGGTTCCCTTCCTAGCTGGGCATACATAGCTTGGCCACAGAGCATCAAGAGGTGCCATAGAAGCCACGTGCTGCTCAGGGATCGTGTGGTTCAAAAGCCAGAGTTTTACCCTGGACCCTGCCATCCAGTCATCCAGGGAGGGAACCCTTTGAAGCAGAAAGCAGTTTCTGTATGAGGTGCCCATGTTGCTCAGACACTTCTCAGTGACATTTCTAGTGCGTTCCACCTTGTTGGATATGTCAGGTTCCGAGTTCATGTGTATACTGCCAGCCTTATTAACCAGGGAGCACCTGAGGTTCTCCTCTCTTCCCCTGGTGGGAGTGTCCGGTTGGGCTGGTGTATTTTTGTGAATGGCTGTAGCTGCTGTGGCTTCTTCTCTTCGCCTCTTCTCATCCTCACTAGCCAGTGGGTGCATTGTATGAGATGCAGCTGAGTGGTCAAAGATGGGGAGTATTCTTTTGATAGGCTACACTCCCAGCAATGAGTTTTGCTTTGTTACTGAAGCTGGCCTTGAACTTGCTCCTGAACTGAATGATCCTCTTGCCTTAGCTTGCCAAGTAAGTAGCTGGGACTAAAGGCCTGTGCTATTGAGCTTGGATGGCAGGATTTTAAAAATTAGTACCTTTGCATTTTTTTTCCAAGAAACAACCAAAGAGTACACACCTCCCAGTAAGTCCGTTCCTCACTCGTCCTTCCTGAGAGCAAAAACAGTTCAGGTTTCAGAGTCTGGCTGGCATGTGGAGAGATGGTCTTTTTACAGTGTGAGCACTGTTTGATGATTTGCTGAGTTTTGACTAAGTAGATCTTGATCATCATACTGCCCCACATAAGCATTTTTGGGACCATGTAAAATGTTTTTGTTTGTTTGCTTTCTGTTTTTAAAAACCACCACAGAATCATTCATTGGTGGTCATGCCAAATAACGCTGTTCACAGGCAGTTACGCTGGTTCCAGTGTTTCCCTTTTTTGCATTTTAATGCCTTTCAGATGTGGGGACTGTCTGTGCTCCTGTTTCCATGTGACCTGTGACTCATGGGCTGATGATTCTGTATTTTGGTCCCTCATCTCCCCCTCCTCTCAACACATTAGATTCTCTTATTAGTACGTCATTGTGTTTGACACTTTGAGAATAGACAGACTCAGTAGATAATAAAATGGTGTTGGCCTTGTGTTTTATAGCCGTCGACTCCTTCCATGTTGTCTCTGGAGCTTAAGAATTCAGGTCTTCTCCTTCAAAGGGGCCTGGTTGGGGCTAGGGAGATGGCCCAGTCAGTCAGATTCAGATGTTAAATATGAGAGCCTGAATTTGAAGCCCCAGCACCCATGTTAGGAGCCAGGTATGACAGTGTATGTCTGTGATCCCAGGCCTGGGGAGTGGACAAGTGGACGAATCCCTGGAGCTCATTAGCTACCCAGTCTCACTGAATCTGTGTATTTAGGGTTAGTGAGGGGAACCCTGTCTCAAAAATGAGGTAGGACTGTTTGAGGAGAATTCCTGCCATCAGTCTCTGGCCTCCATGTGTGAACACAGCCAGGAACCTCCACACCCCCCAAGATTTAGTGGTGTGTGTGTGTGTGTGTGTGTGTGTGTGTGTGTGTGTGTGTGTGTGTGTGTTTCTCCCTCTTTTTTTTAAGCAATTCAATTAAAGACTTAGAGCCTTAAAAATGTGACCAGCCCTATCTGGATAGTGGAAGCTCCACAATCTGTTTCGGTGGTGGCAGGAAGCAGCACAGTATTAAATCTGGAGACACCGTGGTCTCCAATTGTGGTCTCTGACATGGCTCCTCATGTTGGTTCACATGTCTGTGAGGTTGTAAAAGGAGTGAAGTGGAACCCCATAGAGGCCCTGGCAGCAAATGGCCCCAGTGCGCTGGCTTTGCAGTGTGATGTAGGAGGGGGGGTTCCCAGTCACCAGGCCACCTGTTCCACTCAAGCTGTCTCTTGGGAGAGACCTCAGAATCAGAGGGTCTGACCTATGTCCTTTATTACCTCACTGCCCCTGTCGTACACATGTATGTGGATGGCAGAAGGCAACCTCTGCTGTCATTCCTCTGGTGCTATCCATCTTGTTATTTTTTTGAGACAGTATTTCTCATTGGAAATTGTTTTGTAGGCTGGATGGCCAGTAAGCCCCAGAAATGACTGCCACCCCCTTTTCTAACAGTGACCTTGCCTGTAGCTTTGTATCTGGATATTGAAATCTAACTCAGGTCCTGTGCTTAGGAGTCCGTGAGCAACTAAGCTTTCTTTCTAACCTTATTTATTTATTTTTCGTGATGGAGTTTGAACCCAGAGCCTCATTCATGTTAAGTAAGAACTCTACAGTGAGCCGTATCACTGGTCCTTTATTTAGTTTTTGAGCCACAGTCTTATGAAGACCAGACTGGTCTCAAACTTGATATGAAACTGAAGATGACTTTGAACTTCTGATCTTCCTGTCTCCACCTCCAGAGTGCTGGAATTACAAGAATACACCACCATGCCTAGCAACCCTGTGCTCTCACTTTACCCCCCAAAATGTATTCACTAACTGGGAATGCTGGAACCCTACAAGTTCCCTATAACATCCAGCACCCCACTGACTTGAAGAAGACAAAAGATGCCACTGCAGGCAGTAGGATCCCTGTTGAAAAAGACAGCCAGCACTGGTTTTCTGTTTCTCCAAGTGTGTGTGTGTGTGTGTGTGTGTGTGTGTGTGTGTCTGGAAGGAAACATCAACTTCTCCCGTTCCTGTCATATTTCAATATTGGCTTTTTTCCGCCCTTCTCCAAGTCTCCCATTATAACTTCTTCTGCTGCTTAAATATAGCCGTCTAAGTCCTCCTTCTTGCCAGATTGTTTATATTTTTGCAAGCCTTCTGCGTTATCTGTGGCTGCTTGCTTGCCTCTCTCTCCATCCCACTTCCCCATGTTGGTGGCGGTTGCTCTTTTTCCCCTGCCTCCTCTTCTCTGGGATGACTTTCAAATGTGGTCTATCAAAACGCCCAGTGTTTCCCTCTTTTCTGCAGTAGCTTTGACATCTGTTCTTGAATGCTAGCCCACAGTATTCCTTTGGATTTGCTCACCCAGGATTTGTTTGAATGCCAGAAATACTAAAGGGAACAGTGTGGCATGAGGGCCTCTCTCCACATCACAGTTCCCCTCTCCACTTTTAAACTGTCTTAAGATTTTTAAGTTGACAGCATGCTGGTTGGTTGTTCCAGCTCTCTGTCATCTTGTCTGGCCATGAGCCACACCATCATGGTACCAGGGAAGTGTCACCCAGGGTGGCTTTCTGGCCTACTGGGTTGTTTCCACTATAAAGGAAGCAGGGGACTGAGACTGCTGTTCAGTCTATGGAGTGCCTAGTATTCCAGTAAACCCTAGGTTTCTTCTAGGCACCACATAGTGTGGTGGCACATGCCTGTGACTCCAGCACTACAAAGGAGGACGTTGGAGGGCCAGAAAGTAAAGGCCATCCTCAGCAGGGGTACCTACTCCCCATTTCGTATCCCTCTAGAAAGTTCTACAAGGCAGGTTGACTTTTACCTCCCGTCCCAGCCTCACTCAGGTGGTAGCTGGGAATGTCTTTGAGTGATGAGCACCCTGTATTGCCCACCAGTTCTCTTACACGCATCCCTCCGTGTTCTTTTGTGAGTGTCTCCAGGACTGCGGAAGTGCTCTGCACAGCTCCTTTTAAGACTTGTAGAGTTTCTGGGAGATTAGGGATATGGCCCTGTTGATAGGGTGCTTGTCCAGTATGCATGAAGTCCTGGGTTCTGTTCTTAGGACTGCATAATACATGCCCATAATCCCAACATTTGGGAGGAAGGCAGAAGCAGTAGGATCAGGAATTCAAGGTCATCCTCAGCTATATAATGAGTCTGAAGCCAGCCTGGGCTACATGAGACCCTGCCTCAAAAAAATAAAATAAAATAAATCATGGATTGCCTCAGTAGGTGGGTGTACCCTGCTGGCCCCCCTGACCTCTTTATTTCTCTCAGAACCAGAGTGATGGGACTGGCTATGGATGAGGAGCCATTTCTAACAGTTACTCAATGCCACACAGAATGTTCTGCTCTGTGTGTTCAGTAACTGAATCTACTTGACTTAGCATATGAGGCAGCAGGCTATTTTGTGGGCAGCCACATGGCCTCTGTACCTGCTGTGAGCCTAGAGCTCCATCCAGGTCCCATCTGCCATGGGCTTCTCTGGGTAGCTCCTCATGACAGATTCTCCCAGAGTCTTAAGGGCTGGGGCCCAGGCTTCCTGACACTATGTGTCAGAGCGGAGCCCGCAGACCTGGCCAGTGTTCTGGGAACCTATCCTGGGGGTCCAAAGACTCCAGGGCATGTGGGATGTTTGGTGAACAGTGATTCTGAGAAGCTTACAGGATAACGGGGTTAATTATTCATGGAATTTGATTTTTAAAGGTCCCCCTTGTAAACTAGTAGGTTAGTGGTTCCAACTGGGATGCCTGGCCTAAAATAAGTTTTCAAGAAATATTTGTTGAGTGGAAATAAACCAGCTGTTGTTCCCTGAAGTTTCAGGTCCACACTGTAGAAGGCCAGCCATGTAGAATCTATTTGGAGGAAATACTGTTAGGCAGGGGGACCAGAACTCAGGACAATGGCCTGGAGAGATGTGGGGGCATTGACCCAACTATGGCTTAACAGGGGAACTGTTTCTATGTATGTTGCCTTAGGAGGGAATTCTCTGTGCAGTGCCATAGTGCACTGCAGTACACAGCATGCTGAGCAAATTTGGTCTCTCCAGCTAGTGTCTTTGGGACTTGTGTCGTGTGAATATATTATTGTTATGGTCCTTAACATTGTCCTCGAGCCTTACTTTCTACCCATGAATTGATTCCCAGGAGTTTCTCTTTGTTGTTCAGCACCAGTATACACTTGATCCCTCCTGGTAGAAATTGTAGATTATAATCTTGCTTTTTCTTTCTTCATCTCCCCACAGAGAGAACTTGATGCCACCGCAACAGTATTGGCAAACAGGCAAGATGAGAGTGAACAGTCCAGAAAACGGCTCATTGAGCAGAGCCGAGAGTTCAAGAAGAACACTCCAGAGGTGAGCTGGGACTTGTCACAGTCTTCAGAAGGGGTCTCATGAACCCTGAGACATTTCTTAGTTCTCCACAAAAATTGCAAAAAGAGCCTGTTGCTCTATTCAGATGCCTCCAACCCTACCCTGGCAGAGTGTGTGCCTCACCCAAGCCCTGGGAATGTGGCAGCAGACAAGTTGTTGATACCAAAAGTATAGACATTGCATAGGTTGGACATACGAGCAGTGTCAGACCCACCTGCTGTTCTAGCCTGTGGTATGTCAGGATGGTGTTAACTGAAATCTTTCCAGGACCTTTGTGGGGCAGTGACCTTCATGCCGGTTTCCATGATGCTAGGTAGCAGTGTGTTCAAAGATGGCATTGAACCAATATTCCCTGGTAAAACCTCTTTTCCTCTGCTATAGGTGCTGATGTACCTCTGTGTTTCTTGACACAGGTTATAAGAGCCCGTGGGCATGACTTTAGAGTCTGGGCTTCTTTCTCTTTTACGAATGTGTTGGGAGTCATATTAGTGACTTTCATTTTCATGACAAAAGCAACTTAAGAAAGGGTTTACTTTAAAGACTTATAATTTGAGAGTACAATCCACTGTGGTGGGGAAGGCTTGACAACAGGATCTTGGGGTATCTGGTCCATTGTGTCTGTAGTCAAGAAACAAGAAAATTAATGCTGGTGCTCAGTTTACTTTTCCTTTTTATGCAGTCTGGTTCTCCTCCACTTTTCAAGTGTAGGGATTACAAATATGCACTACCATCCTAAGTTTATGTGATGCTAGGGATGGAACCCAGGAACTTAATTCATGCTAAGCACTCTACTAGCTGAGGTGTATCCCTATCACCTCGATCTTTCTAGTTGTTTTTATTTCCTTTTATTTTTTGAGACAAGGTCTTCCTATATAGCCTAACAGTCTCTCAGACACTACAGTCCTCCTGCCTTAGTCTCCTAAGTTGTCACTACAACTAATTTAAACATGCATCTTCTATTAGACATCTTTAAAGGATTGTAAGGCCAGAGTTTAGATGGGGGTGGAGACGGGGGTTCAGTTAGTGTCCTCCGTGGTGTGGAGAGGAAAAAGATGGAGAGTCTATGATGGGACATCTTATCAGTCTGATGGTGGGGGAAGGGTCTGTAGCCATATGTGTAGAGTCTCAGGTGAGTTGAAGGCTTGGGTCTGGCAGCCGTCCTGGACCATCAGCTTTCCTTAGGGTTGTGTAAGTATCCTTGTGACATTGGTCATTTTCAGTAGTTAAACTACCCAGTCATTCAACTTTTAAAGTTGTAGTTTTGTGTCACTCGATCAGTAAATACATAAGCATTTAACAGTATTGATTATATTACTTTAATCTAAAAATTGTGGTTAATGTGAAGTAAGTTGCAATTACTTTTCAAGTTAAAAGTTTCTCAAGAATGCTTCATTTCCTATGGGTTTTAGAAAAGAATCTTCTTAATTTTAGAGACAGGATCTCATGGAGCCGAGGCTGACCCAAATCTCACTATGTAGCTGAGAATGTTGTTGAACTTCTGATCCTCCAGCCTCCAGCTCCCAAGTGTGCTAAGATTATACATACACTGCTACACTGGTTTACCTGATTCTGGGGTTTGAACCTAGGGCTTCATGCATGACAAGCGCTCAACCATCTTAGCCCCATATCTCACCCTCCATAAGGAATTAACAGCTGCTCTTTGAGTAGAACAGATAGTATCTTTAAAAAAGCATTTTTTTAAATCATAAATTTCCACTTTTAACATTTACTATATTGCTGGACAGTGGTGGCGAATGCCTTTAATCCTAGCACTTGGGGGTGGGGAGGGGCAGAGGCAGGCCGGTCTTTGTGAGTTTGAAACTAGGGTAGTCTACAGAGTGAGTTCCAGGACAACCAGGGCTGTTAGTCTTGAGAAACCAAAAATCAAAAACAAAGACCAAAAAAACAAAAACAAAACCAACTGTTATATGTGTGGGTGTTTTGCCTTCATGTATATCTTTACACTGTATGTGTGTCTGGTATCTGAGGAGGCCAGGAAAGGGCTCTGGATGCCCTGGAGCTGGAGGTATAGGTGGTTATCAGCTGCCATGTGAGTGCTAGGAGCTGAACCCTAGTCCTCTGCAAGAGCAGCAACCATTGAGTCATCTTTCCAGACCTAGACAATGAATATCCTGAGAGCCCTTTGCTTTCCTTGTTCTTTGCTACAGGAGACTGGATTACTACATCAATTTTTGGGTAAAGATATACAGATCCAAAGTTCTAATAGCATTATCTTCCCCTCAAAAGAAAGAGCTTCTGTGTGCATATGGACATGTGCAATGCACACATGTATATAATAAGGATATGTTTGTATGTTCTTGTGAAAGGCTACCTTTATACCTGGCTTGCTACCCATGGTGTGTTTTGTATTAACTTAAAAGCCTAGTCTTGTGGCACATACTTGCCATCCAGCTATTGAAGGAAGCTGAGGCAATAGGATCTCCTGTTTTAGGCCATCCTGGAGTAAAAAGTGAGTTCAAGACCAGTCCAAGGAACTTGAGTGAGACACTGTCTTAAAATAGTGAGTAAAAATAGGGCTGAGGGCATGTGGTTCAGCATCAGAGTGTTTGCCTAGAATCCCTCAGTGAGGGGACTGGGGGCATTACTCAGGAATAAAATGCTTGCCTAACATGCACAAGGCCCTGGGCTCAGTCTCACCTGATATAAAATAAAATAAAACGTTATTAGCTTAGAACACTATAGAATGCTTTAAGTGTAGTGGATCTTTGCTTCATAAAGCTAGCTTAGGCGACTTAAAAAAGAAAGAAAAAAGTAAAGAACCCTAATTTAATAGTTATCAGTTTAAAATACTCCCCAAGGTGGTTTGTGTTGACAGTTAATCATTTTGCAGTTATTTATGGAGTGCCTTCCATGTGCCAGACAGTGGGTCTTGGGGAGGAAATCCTAACCTTTTCTTCAGAGTTTCTTATCTCTTCCACCAGGCAGTAGACCATGGCCATGTGGCAAGCTGAGTGCCAGGGTCCCATAGCTGGCATCTTCTGCCGAAGTCTTTCCTTGCACCATACACACATCCATGTGACAGTATTCTCTGTGTGAGCCACAGATGGCTCAGTAACCTTCCTTGTAGATAAACAGTTATGCTTTTTTGAGCCTTGTTAGAGCCATTCTTCCTTAATTTCTCTTTCTCTCCCTCTTTCTCTCTCATATTGGTTAGTTTATTTGTGTGTTTGTTTGTTTTTGTTTTTCCCTGTACTTTGGATGGGACCACAGCCCTCCACATTCTGACTGTCTTCTGACTCAGGCCTTGCTTCAGGTCTTTGGTTGAATGTGTTTTCAAAGACTAGATTAGTATCTTCAGTGTCTGGTGTGCATCTAGAAGGAGCCTGAGCACTCTGGTTATTTTGTTCATCTTTGCACTTTATCAGCCATTTTCAATGGCACAGTTAAGAAAAAGGAGAACCATATTCCCAAGCCATATTCTAAACTGTCTTGGTGAGTATTTGGACCAAAAAGCTTCTGTACTGAAAGCTGGGCTGCTCTTCAGGCCACTCTTTGATTGTCTTTTCTCACTCCAATGTATTTTTTTCTCCATCTGAATTAAAAAAAAAAAAAAAAAAAAAAAAAAAAAAAAAGGCAGGGAAGAAAGTGTGTGTGTTCATCCATTCCTATGTATATAGAGTATAGAGGTGCATGCTTCCCATAACCTCATGGCATGAGTATGAGTATGGGCAACCTATGTTGGTGGCCTTTACCTTCCATCTTGTTTGAGACAGGTCTTTTGTTTTATGCTGCCTACAAGAGAGTAGCTGTAAGCTTCCAAGAATTTTGTTTCTCTGCCTCTTGTTTTAGCATAGGATCAATGGGATTGCAGATGTGTATGGCCATATCCATCTTTATGTGGTTCTAGGGATCCAAACTCAGGTCCTCATGCTCATGTGGCAAGTGCTTTGCCCCCATAAGCCACCTCTTACTCCCCCAGTGCATTTTTATCTTGGTGTTTCTTGTGCACTGGAGCATGCTTCCTAAGGGTGCCTACCCCACTGTGCTTATAGTTTCATGGTGTTGTTTACATATGGCCTTCCCCAGCTCCTGTCTTCAGGAGAAGAGCTCAACCCTAGCCCTGACCACTGGGGCTCCCTCATCCATCTTTACTGCCCTCATCAGGGAAGGAGCTCTGGTGTCTATTTGCCATTACTGTTTTGTGACAGGGGATATTCTCTATGCCTACTGTGACAGCAGTAGTTGGCTTTCATTTTTCAGGGATCAGAATCCCAACTTACCTTTGCCACCCGAAGTCTGGACTCTTCTGATTCAGTCATTCTCTCCCTTCTTCCGTCCTTCCCTCCCCACCTCCCCAAGTTTTCATGTAGCCTAGGCTGGCTTCCAACTTACTTTATAGCTAAGGCTGGTAATGCACTTCTGGACCCCCTGCTTCCATCTCCCCCTCAGTGCTAGGATTACACGCACCTGGCTGGTTTAGGAGGTCTGGGAATGGAGACATGGGGATGAGAGTACATGGCAGGGAAACGTTCTGTCAACCGAGCTATAACCCTAGCCTGCCTTTTTAGTCCTTTACAGGGTCTTGAACTCAGTATGTAGTCAAGTCTTTCCTTGATTTCCTTCACTTGATTTTCAGATTCTACCTCCTGAGTTCTAGGATTGTATATGTAGGTGTATACCTTCATACCCGGCAGATGTTTGCATTCTTGAGCAACAGTTTCAAAATGCTAGGTTTGGGACGGGTCTCTTTTAGGATGTGGAAGGAACTCCTGCCCCGTGGTAGAAGGAGACTAGATTTATTGATGACTTCTGTGCTTGTAGGATGTGGGAAAGACCTGTACTTTTTGTCTATTGGGAAGAAGAGCTTTCAAGGTTATGGATGAAGCGATGGCTCCACATCTTTGCCTCTCGACCTTTTGTGGAAGCGAGGAATTAGAACAGGAAGTGGAGTCAGAAGAAAGATGAAACTGGGACTGTGGCTTATTTCTGTAATTCCTGGACTATGGTGGCTGAGATAGGAG